ACATTTTGATCATCACTGGTCACTACAATCACCATCGATCTAACCAAACACACATCAGCCGCACGAAAAAGACTCCAAATATATGTTAAAGAATCGAGAGAAGTCAGTCACACGAGTGCTAATAATTGTTTTGTTTTTTAGGTAAAACATATAACTCGGATATTTTCCTGGACAGAGAGCCAAAAGGGGCAAAACCAGATAGATATATAACAAAAAAGATAAAGGTGATGATTTTTGGGTCAGATTCAAATGCAAGTAACCATGATCCTTGATGATTATATCATAATCTAAAAAGCAAAATCACATGAGACAAAATCATAAGGTATGATTGGAGAATAGAACCAGTAAGTGAGTGAGTGACCTTGGAAACAAAAACCAGAAATGTGCAGAGCGATGATCACTATTCCATGATTCAAGAAAGATGAAAAGGACGGAGACTTCAATACCAACCACACTGCTTATTTCAGAATCTTGGCCACTGTGAAGATCTTATATGTATATATATAAGGTATTTTTTTATAATAGGCCAATTTTATAAAAGTTTGCATGGATTTGGTATACAAACAAAAGAGATTTGAGTCCACGAGTGTTGACGAACGGCGAGGGTTTTAAGGAGAGTGAGGGGTAGTTTCGTAATTACGTTTGCTTGTTACTTTAATGAAAAGGTAAAATCAACGGCTGTTATTTGTTGTTTATATTTTGTTAAGATTAGATTTTCCGAGACGAGAAAGTCAAGCTCAGAGGAAAGTGGGGTCCATTGTTGAGATATTGTGGTAACTTCTTTGACAGCGAGTGTTCTTAGAAAGTAGGACCTACAATAAATATACTAACTTTTTTACAATAATAATAGAGGTAAATAGTACAAAGAAAGTGAGGGTCTCAATCAAATAATTTTTTCTCCATTTGTTTGGCCCTAACAAGTAAAATAGCTTAATGCTTCTACATTTATCAATCAATGCCAGTTGGATTATAAAAAAGACCAATTAGTGATCAAAATTTGTTTTAAATTTTAAAGATGAAATCTATTGTGATCTCTAAAGTTAGTCGGTAACGTTTGCCACAAAGCTGTCAAAAATAGTATATTTATAGATCGAATGAAATGTCACACAAATAGGGCGGTCCGGATGTTACTTATGTATTGCGACAAACCCTAGTTTTCCGTAAGAATATATTAATAACTTAGCATTAAAAATACTACATCTTTTGTTACAATCTAGACTTAATT